CGGACGGGACAATTTATTTTTATCCTTTCACTCTGTTCGAAATTTTTCAGCGAACGATCGTAATGGCCCCGTCGTAATGGCGTGTTACGCCATTTAACTTCGATGGAACGAGCAAAAGATATATAAAAAAAAGAAAAAGAATACGTACCTATATTTTTGCCCAACGAAAGTTAAAAACGTGCCAGAGAAATTTATGAACTGTTCTCCGCGCTATCGTTGTCCCTGGATTAATATAATCTAGGCGTCGTGTAATTACGGTAATTGTAAATTGGAGCAAAGAATATTGTCGCCATCTTCGTTAATTTATCACTACTCGGTGTTGTATCCCGCTGTGAATATATATCGCGAAAGGAAATGAGATGAAAACGCAACGACTCTACGTTACGATAAATTTGCTTCACGAACGTCTTGAATGTTACCTCGAGTACGCAGATTCGTATTTTTCTCTCCCCTTTCGCCCGCCCCCGTTAATTAGAAAAATTATCAATTGAAACGAGTTAAACTCTAATTGCTTTCTTATCGAGAGGAATAAAATAAATAATGGTCGCTGCTTGGAAGTTCCTTTCCTAGGAAATGAATAATTCAGGGAAGTGTGTTTCGAGGTAAAAAGCAGAAAATCCATGGAACGGACTGCTGAGATAAATTAACCTGTTTCATTTGAAAGCGATTAAACACGATCTCGATATATAACGAGAACTTTCAGCAAACTGTTGTACTCTCGACATATTCTTCATTCAACTTCTCACTGCTAGTCGTTTTTCTGATGTAAATGACAGAAGATATTCACTTTCAAAGAAAATATCCGAGATTAGATATAAGAGCAATAATTAAGTATAATTCATAGTTATAATTTTTGATATATATAATTTATAAATATAATATATATATTTATATTATATATAATAATATATTTTTATATATATTTAAATTACGTTTGTATATATTTATTTGAATATATTTAAATTATATTTATATATATTTTTATAATATATATATAATAATTTATGTATATGTTATATTTATATATATATATATATATATCTAGTATACATAATTTCTGATATAATTTCGTTCTCATTGACCACTTGATTTCATTTCGAAACTTCTACTTTGACAGAAAGAGAGATTCATTCTTTTCAAAGATGATGTCACATCGTACGCGTGGAAAAATAAAAATGATTTCCCCTTGATAATTATAAAAATTCGAAAATTCCAAAAAGAGTTTCTTCTATATTTAAATTATATTTAAATATATTTAATTATATAAATTATTTAAATATATTTAAATTATATAAATTATTTAAATATATTTAAATTATATAAATTATTTAAATATATTTAAATTATATTTATATATATTTTTATAATATATATATAATAATTTATGTATATGATATATATTTATATATATATCTAATATATATAATTTCGTTCTCATTGACCACTTGATCTCATTTCGAAACTTCTACCTTGACTGAGAGAGAGATTCATTCTTTTCAAAGATGATGTCACATCGTATAGCGTAGAAAAATAAAAATGATTTTCCTTTGATTATGAAAATTCGAAAATTCCAAAAATAATAAAAGAGTTTCTTTGTGGCTGCATTCGCAATGATTTTGAAATCTACTGTATCTACACGATCTATTGTTTTCACTAAATGACGAAATGTTAAGACATCTTGAATCTTTGTCGTCTGATCCTTTATTAGTATACTCAATGAAACACTTAAAAAATGTACGACCAATGAACCAAACCTAATAACAAAAAGAATTGTTTAATGTTCGTACACGCGTTGGAATTTTCGACAATTTTCCTAGGCGAAAGCAATACTTTCTCGTCATCTGCATATTGTCGAACAATCATCATCGAAGAAAATGAACACGCGTCCTTGAAAAACGGAGCCACTTGCGCTGGCAACTGATTGCGGACCATAACGAGCGACCAAAACCGTACACGATATTATTCGTCGCTTTCGCTTTGAACTCGCCAATTTCGGTATGACATCACTGGATAGAAATGATTGAGAGAAGTAATGAATTCATTATTTGCTTTGCCTATTTTGTTTCACCTAAACCTAGATATACTTAAAACCGGAGAGAATGTTGCAATTTTGGAAAAACGAAAAATTCTCGTCGTGCGTCGCTCGTCATTGAGACCGCGGGACGATGGACGGACGATTGATTCGCTTTTGCAAATTTATCGACTATTTCGCAATAATCTCTCATTGGTACGGCATTGGTGCTGCCAACGTTTAACAACTCGCGCACGCGCGTAATCGCCGTCGGCTTGTCTTGCCAATTTAATCCGAAACGGTGAACCAGCGGAATTCCAGAAATGAAAAGTTGGCCAAGTATTTAAGTTTAATATCAACTTCGCCGGAACCTAAATACGCCACGATATTGCACCATCGTCGACCATTTGCTCCACTTTGCCGATCCGATAATAAAATAAATTTTCCCGCCCGGTGAAGAATTCCAGGTGTGTTGCAAACTCGTAACAAAACGTTAAGGGTTTGTTGACTCCGACGCGAGTCCGGCGCTCGTCCCAAAACTTTCAGCAGAACATTCCAACAGTTTCAACTAATAAGAGAAATCCTCTCCCCGTCGTACCAGGAGATTTTCACTCGCCTGCGGTTTCTCATCCGTTGCGGGGCCGCAGGTTTCTAGAATTAACTGCACGTTAGTGGCGCATGTCTATGACGGATTTATACGGGGAACGTTATCCTGTTGATGGATTCGAACCGCATGATAAACCAGCCACGGCAGCGCCTGGTTTTTGTCCGCGGTCAAGAACCGAGTGCTCGTAAATTGCCGGATGATCGGTAAAAGTTTCGTTCGGGAAGCTGGCGGAATTTTTCGGTTTTGTTTTTGCCGATTAACTGGCCATTCGCACGCCTGGGAATATTGTTATTGGAAATCTTTGTACAATATTTATCGTGACTCGCCGCGAAGCTGTCGCTGCGCGATTATTATATATTTATGCATGTATGTATGTAACCACGTCGTGTAGTAATGCTTATTTTAACACGTAAAACAACGGAAACGTAATAAAATTAGGACGTAGGCTGCATTAATTTTGCGATTATTTCTCGGCAGTATGCGTGGTATTGACGAAAACTTGAATTTAACTTTAAATCTGCGAATTATATAAATAATATGGAGATGAACAAAGTAGTGTAAGTCGTTAATACTATGGTATTAAAATACGACGAGTTTCATATATTTATATACGAGGGAATTCTTGCGTTATTTGTAATCTCTCACGAAAATTCGTATTTTGCGCGAACGTTCGTGTATTAATATCCATTTTTTAATGCATAAAACAATGATATAAACTGCATTAATTTTGCAATTGTCTTTCTACAGAGAGCGTGGCATTAATGAAAATTTGAATTTAATATAATATTATAATTATACAAAGCATGCAGAATATAAATAATAGAATAGAATCTGATGAATAATATAATACTATATAATTATATAAAGTCTGCAGAATGTATGTAGAAATAAATGAAATAGAAATAAAGGAGTACAAATAAATAACGTGTTAAAATGCAACGAACGCGCGGATTATTAATTTATTATTGGAAATCTTCATCATTAAAGTGTCCTCGCACAAGTTACGAATTAAAGGGAACCATTTATTTATGCAGCGTGTGATAAAATTTTATCCTTTGATACATAGAACAACGAGAAGAAACAGACTGCATTAATTTTCTAAACTCTTTCTGTAGAGTACGATATGTATATATATATACATAAAATTATTATATATGTATTATAATATATAATATGTATATAATTTATATATTTAGGCTATAAATTTCTGTGCTTTTTACATATATATATAATTACATATGTATAATATATAATATTATATTATATATGTATTATAATATATATATAATTTAATTATTTAATTATTTAATATTATATTATTATATTATTATTATTTAATATTATATTATTATATTATATTATTATTATATATAATTTAATTATTTAGTATTATATTATTATAATTTAATTATAATAATATAATATTATAATTTAAAATATAAGTATATATATTATAATTTAATAATATAATATTATAAATAAAATTATAATAATATAATATTATAATTTAATAATTATTTAATTATAATAATATATATATAATTTATAGCCTAAATATATAAATTATATATATATTATATATTATATATTATAATACATATATAATAATTATATATATATATATATAATTATAAAGTGAAGCACTTTACAAATTTACAAACGAAATAAATGAAACAGTTGGTACATATAAATGTGCAACTTCTCTGGATATACATTATATCAGATACGTTTTATCAAGTATTGATTTTTCACCGGTTGATGTATACCTAGTCTTTAGAAAGCAGGAGCTTCCGGCGCTGGCTTTAATATGTTCACTTTTCCTCCGCCAGAATCCTGCGACAACGGTAAAAGTCAACAGGATACCGGTAAACAGGGAACAATCACGTAAATTCTCAGTCTTGCCTCTTGGAATTATTCGGTCTTAGAGATTGTACCACTCCCGCCGCTGTATTTACGAAGTTCAGCCTGTGAACGCAAACAAATGGCTTTAATCCGTTTAACATAAATGCCACGCGGTTTAATTAAATTTCAGCCGCGAGATAATAATCTTTACGCCCGTGAAAATGTTTCCTTTTTCTCTCTCGCTCACTCTTTCCCTCTCTATCTCTCTGTTCACACCTCGCGAATTCTCGTTTTCTATTTTGCAATTGTCATTTGTTTCATTTTGTTTAACCCGATTACCCAGTTGTATTCCATTCGCAATTACCGTGCTGCTGTTTTCGAGTTTTTCTTCCTTTCTTTCTTTTTTTTTTTTTTTTTTCTTCTTTTCAGGAATTATCATCATCGTTTCGATTGATTTGTAATTTCTATTTGCGCGATCGGTGCACAAGCAATGGTCGATAATTCGATGTTCAATAATTTTAGGCTATTTGTTGGTTACAGGTAGACACACCGGACAGCGTGCTACAAAGTGGACTGGGCCCGGGGCCAGACATGGGTCACACGATTTTACGCTCGATGGTCGATCCGAGAGATTACGATCGATTAAGATACTTGCAAATGAATGGCGGCCAACCGAACAGCTTCGAGGAAACGATACACAGGGTACGATTTTCATTTTATTGCAACATATTTCCAACTTACAAACAGTTTTCGTTTTATCGTTGATAGTCGAAAAAAAATTAAATTTGATTGACAACTTTGTGTCGTAATCTGTCCGTTTCATTGAACTTTAAACTTTGCCCATTTCATAGGAAATTCTTCTGAAATTTTGCTACATTTTCCTCGCATGATTCCTCCTCACTCGATACCGATATTACATCGTATTATATATTATATAGCGAATCGTATCGATAATTATGCATAGCGAAATCTTTTTGTCTGTTTGTGTTTTTCAGCTGAAAGTTCAAGAGGCGCTGCGAAAGAAGGAGCGATTTCATAAAGAACACGAGGAGGTGAGTGCAATATAAATTAAAGTTCATTCTTCCCTTTCTCCTCCCTCCTTCCTTTTTTTTTTTTTTCAATTTGCTAATGAGTTTTTGTTTATACGAATGCCGAAGAAGGGGAACGGGGGCGCGTTTACAAAGGAAGCGGGACGAGGGCAATAAGCACGATAAAAAGCTTATCAAGCTTTTTATAACCTAGAAATTATATCGTTTCTCTCTCCAAGTATTGTGTGCATTACTTTTAGTATTATCTGCTTTAGTATGATTAACGAGCATTACTTTTAGTATTATCTGCTCAATATTGATTAACGAGCAATCAATGGATAAAGAACAATCGTATAAATTAAACAGTGATAGTAATTGTAACAGGATGAGCCAATAACCTTGTCCTCGAATATTTCTTTATTCAGCACAATCTTCCAAACTAATAATTTCCCGACACACGTCGTTTAATAGCTTCTTTTATTTTTAAAATCACCGAAATCATTCGCAAAGATGATTACGAGCCTCTCTCTTCGTATCTCTTTTCTTAAAGCTCCAGAAATAATGGAGATGTTTAATCTCTTGCCACGCACGTTGAGAACTGTTTGTCTCGAAAAAATTGCAATATTCTTTCAATTTCAAGTATATTTAGGTATAACTCAGGCAAAACAGATAATAAATTTATTGCTTCTCAATAATTTCTATCCAGTGATATCGTACGGACGGGTTCAAAAGGAAAGCGACGAATTTATTGTGCACGGGTTCGGTCGCTCGTTATGGTCCGCAATCAGTTGCCAGCGCAAGCGGTTCAGACAGATTGGACAAAGTTTACCGTAACATAAATATAAAGAAAATCATACAGTTTGTCGTGTCGCTGATGTAAACACTATTGAAACAAAGGACGATCCAATTTGAAAGCAGGGCGGATTTGAGATCGAATTGCCGACCAAGATGGCGTCGCAAAGCCATCGTGGAACTTATCGATTAATGACGTGATAATTACCGGCGACGTCGTCGACAAGCGAGTATGGCTGGAGTGACGTGCACCTCGAATGCAATAAGGACAGTCTCGCAGAGGATTACGAGAATTCTTGGTAACTTTTTAAAGGCACTAATCCTCTTTTTCCTTGCCCTCGTCCGAGCAGAGATACAGAGACGAAACACGTGTGTGGGAAGAAGTTGAAACTGGTAAGGGACCTCGCGGCTCGGGAGGCAAACCGAAATGGTATCGTTGAAGTTTGCGGGAAGGACTGGTCAAGATTTGGAACGAGCGGCGTGAGAGGGGACCAACTGGATCATCCGGGATTATTTGACAAAAGTTTCTAAGCCGCTTCGTAATAGCAGAGTTTGTCATCCAATTCACCGAACTCCGAAATTCCACATAAAATCCATCGAAAATTTCTTTGCTACTCCATATTGTTGTGTCTTATGCTGTTGACCTTCTGAACGACTCGACCGATCCAACACCACTTTTTGTAAATTTCTCTCTTCATCTTGACACGTGCACACTTTACTATCGTAAAATTATTATTATTATTATTATATTATTATTATCTTTATATTATTAAAATTATTATCATTATATTATTAAAATTATTATTATATTATTATCATTATATTATTAAAATTATTATTATTATATTATTATCATAATTATATTATTAAAATTATTATTTTTATTATATTATTAAAATTATTATTATTATTATTATTATTATTATTATTATTATTATTATTATATTATCATTATTATTATATTATTATTATATTATTAAAATTATTATTATTATTATCATAATTATATTATTAAAATTATTATTATTATCATCATTACACATGTTTGAATTTTTACGGTTGATCTTGAAAACTCTGGAAAAGAAACAGAAATTGGAGAGAAAAAACGTTCTCCTTCCGACCAATTCACGTCACGTAGAACATATTTTTTGTACTATCGCGCTATTCCAAGATAGCGCGATTGTGGCCCAATTTAAGCGAACCCCGAACTCCTGTATATACCTTACCAAATCGGTTTCGTATTTCATTTTATGTTTCGACATTATCCACCTTACGTATCAATTATATTCGTCGTTTATTTCAATAATAGATCACGTACTGATGAAACTGTTCCCGTATGGATTGGGAGTTGCATGCGCAAGAGTGGTTTCTGATCAAGTAATTCTCGAGTTAACAGGTTAATTATGTTCCAACACCTGAATTCCACACACAGGCGTGATTTCAATGCGTGAGAGCACGATCATCAAGCTTGCGAATCACATATGTATGACCGGTGCTAAGGGATTATAATCGAGAATTACCGTTCTTACTGTTTCTCGTGTTCTACATTGTAGATAGATTATGTGACTTAGAGATCTTCGTTTCTACTCTCACCGTTTATTATTTCAATTCTGTTTGTTCATTGACCTCTGTTAATCTAATCATTAATAGATCCATTAACTAAGTTAATTCACGATCTACTAAAAATTAATATTAGAACAATTACCTACTATTTTACTATTTTAAAAATGACTTTCATTAAGGATCTCGACAAATTCTGTTGGGCAAATTTATGTCGAAAATTATGTATCGTTCGTTGTTTCATCGTTAATGTAAAATGATATTAACACGCGGTCTCGCGCTTTCGAATTATTATTGAACTTTTTGTCGAGAGTCTTATCGCAATAAATAAATGATACAAGATATCAGCGTGAAAGTTGAACTTATCTTTCCAAACCTGATGATCGCACAATGCCACAGTAAAGTTATCAATTTTGTTCTATACAAAATAATACGCAACGTCGTGCTTTTTAATTTATCAAATTAAATCGTTATCGAGAACTTTATCGCAATAATACGAAATGACACGAAATATCAAAAGTTGGATGCACGTAGTAATCGCAACGTTATCGATCGCTGTGCCACCGATATAAAACAACACTAACACGCAATTTTCTACTTTCTCATTTAAGAATCTCATCGCAATAAACAGATGACAGAAAACGTCCATGTGAAAGTCGTGTTTGTCCAACTTTTGTTATCGATTTTTCTTACAAAATAACATCGTGCTCCCCAATTTATTATTAAATTATCATCGATCTCAACAAACAAACGACGGTGAAATATCGGCGCGAAAGTTGAATCTACTATACAGGATGGGTCACCACATATTGCCATCTAGATTTACGTCATTAAATGATTCCGAGAGTGGCACATTTTGAGGATACTAGTTTTCTTGCAGGTGGACATGTAGAGGACATATGTAGGTCATTTTTTTAAAATGGAATTATATATTCTTTATTGCATCAATCGATGCACCTTGATATTTTTTTACAGAAAAGTATTAACCTATTTATGTGAAAAAGTCATTAGTTTAGGAGATATTTTAATTTTAATGTTGTTAAGAAATCATGAACCCTTTGTTAATGTTGTAACGATTTTATTTACAGAAAAGGTTCAATGTCACGACATTTTCTGAATAGATAAATAATTCACTTACATCGTGCTATTTTGTTACACTCAGCGATGATACGATCTCTCATATTGGCCATTGTAGTCGGAGGCTCAGCTTATTTCCTAACAAGATTAAAATTAAAATATCTCCTAAACCAATGACTTTTTTTATCATAAATACGTTGATACTTTTTTGTAAAGAATATCAACTGATGCATTAAAAAACGTTAATGACCTTCGTACGTTCTCTACACGTTCACCTACGAGAAAACTAGTATCACTACCCTCTCGAAACCATTCAATTCCATTCCATTCAACAATGACGTGAATCTAGATGGCAATGATCTGATGACCCTGTATATATGTATAAAATAACACCTCCGTCCTTCTCTTTCGGTTTATCAATTTTTCGAATCATCGTCGGGGAAATTTCGTCGCGATACGCGCGGTAAACAACGTAAAGTGGAATTCTTGCACGCAAGTCTCGGAAACGGCGCGCTTGGAAAGAATAAGGAACGAAGCGCGGCGAAGAGGGGAAGGGTGGAAACGATGACGAGGATAGTTGACGAGGTGGTCGCCCACGGGATTATCCCGCAGTTGCTCGCGTGGCAAAGGAGAAGTCAACCGGTCGGCGGAGAGAAAATAGAAGGCCGGCAGACGGGGGGGTGGTGGGACAGGGAGGGAGGAAAGAAGAGAAGGTTCCTCCCCTGGGAGCAGTAAACCTTCGAAGGTAGAAGTGACACTAAAACTTTTACACGGATACCGACCTTTATTTCCATATTGTTCAGCAGCCTCAAAGGGAAACCTCTCCGTTTTATTTCTTCCTGTCTTTTTCCGCCGGTTTGAGTGGCCACGGCCTCAGGTGCGGCGGCAGAAGGGGTGGGGGGGCGGGGGAGGGGAGGGAAAAGCCCAGGCGAGTTTCGGCTAATTTCTGGGAGGGCCTCTTTCGATCCCTTCAATTTTCCAGAAAGGACCCGGCCAACTTTCCTCGCGCACGCGTGCGTCCAGGGATCAGGCCAGTTTCGCGTAATTAAAATTCGGACCTTCCCCCTCCCCCCCCGCGTTCCACCGCGTTCTACTGTGTACGTAGACACGATACAACAGGCCACCCCTCGTTACCGACATCCTGTTTTTCCTCGCATTCTCCCCGAACGAACGTTTCTTGCCAACGTTCCTTTGTGGCGATGTATTCTTAGGGACGATGTGTGTGCACGCTGAATTTCATACTCCTCTTTATCCTTCTTTTAATTGGATTATTTTAACCGGTCGTGTGCGCGGCGCACACGACGAAAGGTACAACTGGCGCCGGTGACAATGAAAAATTGCCGACGATTTAAGCTGACGCGACTTTGTGAAAAGGAGAATCGTAGAATGATCCGCTTGATCGCGTTTCGAAGCTCTGTTTTGACAGTCGTGAGCCGGTTGTTGATAATTTTGAAAGATTCAAGCATTGAAAAAAATTTTTTTTTTTTTTTGAGATCGATGTCTTGCCACGATCTTCTGTTTTTTATCCTTTTATTGAACATTAAATAGTCGGATTAGGCGACGAAAATTTTGTTATTCAACCGTGTTGAGCTTCAAGTTCAATGAAATGGTGGGAAAACAAATTCGTACGGCGAGTTTTAAGGGGTCGTTCTTAGGTGAAAATTTTCTATCTTCGCGATCGTGGTGTATCTAGTCACGAAAAAAAATTTTTCTAATATTTTTACACACGTTTGAATTGTAAGCTCGAGAGAAGAAAGTATCCTATCTGCCAAATGGTGTAAAATTATCTTCGAAAAAACGCATACAATTGACAAAGTAGCTTTAAAATAAGCTACTATCAAATGGATCGTTGTATTAATTATATTAGTTTAAATTATTATGATTATCAATTTTTCATTGTCATTGATACAGTGTTTTTCATCGTGAGTATAGAACAAGCAAGACACGAAAGAGGTCGATATATATATATTTATTTATTTATTTATAATTCTACAACACCACAGATTTAGAAATTTTACACGATGCATTAATAACGCATTAACAAATCGACAATTCGCACTTGAACACTTTTCCAAGTGTGTCGTATAGTTCGCAAGAGACAATCGTTCGTGTAATGGAGTTACGCTGTCGCATAATAAATAGAACTGCGCGATGTTTATGCGTTTGCAGGGAAAAATTTCAAAAATTTGCAGTTAATGGATAGAACGCAGAAACGTTTAACATTTTTCAACAAATGAAAAAAGCTCTCTGCTTATATATCTCGCCGTTTTAATTATTTTTACATTTTTACGTAAAAATTGTACACGCACGACCGCCGCATTGTTTTCTCTACAATAATTCTTCCTACGTACGATCGAATCAAAAAAAAAAAAAGAAAAAAAAGAAAAAAAAAAGAATTCTAACAAACGAACAACGCAACGCGATGTTCTGTCGTAAATTATAGAAATGTAGATAGATTCTAATCACGTAGCGACTGCGAGATTCATTCACGTCCTCGTTATTGTCCCGTTTCAGATACTGAGGGACATCCGGCAGGGCTTAATGCAGCTTGGTCGGGAAGGACGGGGTCAGCTCCCTGGAGGTGAGTACGTCAAGGAGTGTAACCTCTAGCTAGTTGTCGCCTTGTCTCTCTGCAACTTACAGCACCGAACCAACCACGGGCCACGTCCTTGGTTTTGCTCGTGTGTGTGTGTGTGTGTGTGTGTGCGTGTGTGCGTGCTCCTCTTCCAGGGGCAACCGATGTGTCTACATCGAACGGAGAACTTGCACGTGCCAGCCCAGTCTGCGAATCGACTCCCAAACGGCTGACACCTCGTACGCCTCGCCCCTGCCCCTCCTGGGACTCATTTAACGCGTTCGTTCCACGATGCCTCCTTTCCTTTCTTTCTTTCTTTCTTTCTTTTTTTTTTTCGTTCTCCCTCTTTTCGCGGGAATCTCTTCGAGCAGCGAAACGAAATTACCTCGATAGACAAAAATTCTCTCGGTGAATTTTCGAAAGAGAGTTGCTCTTAGACTTAGACTTAGACTTCGGCTTAGGTGCGGATGAGACGTTGAAATCTGATGGATCTTCTATCGTCACTTTTTGCAATCTTCGATCATTTATATCGACTTATGACTTTATAAATTATCGTTATCGTTATTGCTAATGAAAGTTTGAGAAGAAGATCGGAATGATAAACGATCGAGTAGTGGTGTGGTGTTATAATTGTTCAAAGTAATGTGACATTGTCAAGTAGCTCGAGTAAATCGATCAAGTTGTTTGAGTGAATTTAAAAAGCTCCTAATTCAAGCTACGCTGAACGTTCTTATATGCATTCATGTCGTGAAAATCATAAAAATCTTTTGTGTTTAATCTCTAATTTATATAGTACACTGCCGGTGTAGTATTTATTACTGCAACGAGAAATTGTGCGAAACTTAATCGTCTTCCAACAACTGGTTATCATCTATTTATACTATTGTATAATCGTAACTATCTTACATAAACTTGTAATTATCTAATTAATGTTATTCTAAAAAATCATTTTCAAACAATTTGTTATTATTTGTTTATTCTACTACATAACTATAGTTATAATAGTCGGTATGGTACTTATTATTCTGAAAGGTTATATGTAACTTAAAGCTAAATCATCGTCCAACAACTTAATCACAACTGTATCTGATAGCTGTAACTATAATATAATGTTATTAACATTATTCTAAATAATTTAAAACAATAAATAGCTATAACTTGTTACATTAACAATATAATATCTATTATTCCAAATAACTTAATTAAAATAATTAATTGTTTAGACAATATTATTTAAAATAATATTATTTAAAATAAATATTATTTAAAATATTATTTAAAATAAATATTATTCTAAAAAGTAATACGTAATTTAACAACTCGACAAAACTGAACGAAACGAGTCATTTTCCAACGATTTATCGTCCTACTTTACTAGTAGTCGATAACCCGACAGTTCTCAAACTGGATAATATTCGCTCAATCATGATAGGATGCAAAGAGATACGTAAATTATGTCAATTCGATAAAATAAAATACCGGATGTAACTTGTGGGACCCACTAAAAATAATGAAAAAAAGTCACATAAATATATGTCCTGTCTGTCTTCGTTTATGAGATATAATGAATTTTCTGTTTTAATTACTTTTACAAAAGATGCTCGAAATGACCGCGTTGCATTTGAAGACAAGTCTGCACGCCTCTTGTCATTCATCTGGTTACTCTCTCTATCATTCCTGGTGTTTCTCGAATTTGTCGGAAGCCTTGCTCTATTCTATTTCGNAGTTTCCCATCAAGAAAAAAAGGTCCAATTAAAAATTTATCAATTATTCCTGCCCATACGTTTAAACTAAACTGGTGTTGACGTCTTGAATGCACAATAACGTGTGGGTTTTCTTCATCCCAATTATGATTATTATGAAAATTGAATGTACCATCCCTGGTAAAACCAGTTTACTAGAGTTTGCTCTGTTTATAAAATTCATTATATCTCATAAACGAAGACAGATAGGACACATGACTCTTTTTCATTATTTTTAGGCGTACAATCAGCTCCCGAGGTTACGAAACACCCTGTACATTGAGCGCCGTAAACAGAATGGAAACATCGAGAGTAAAATGTTTCTCCAGCGATCCTTTTAAATTTCGAAATTTATCGATTTATCGCTGGCTCGGCGACGGTTTTGTTTGCGATCGCGTAGCCGGCGAAGGCAATGGTACCAAGCTACGAAGCCCCTTCTATGTCCCGGCTAATCTCGTTATCGTCAACAACCGTCGACTGCTTTCTCCGTCGAATCCGCTTTCCCGATCCCCCTCGTTTTTTCTCGCGCCCACACGCACGTGCACGATCCTCAGACGCTTGATTTCGCTCGGTCTTTTGCACCAGCCGCGGCACTCGAGGTCTTCTCGTGTCTCGAATTACCACGCATTAACACCATACCACGCTTTACCAAACGAAACGCCTCTCTCTCTCTCCCTCTCTCTGAGGAATTTCCATCATTTCCTCTATTATTGCTTCGCCAAACGACGAAATCCATTTTGATACGTCGATGCTTCTTTTAACCTCTTCAGCCACGCACGTCGAGAATTCTTCGTCCCAAAGTTGCAATATTTTCCCAGTTTCTAAGTATAACACTGGCATGAACGAATGATAAATTTATTTCTTCTCAATAATTTCTATTGTGATATCGACGAAGTTCAAAAGGAAACGCGACGAATTATTGTATACGGTTTGGTCACTCGTTATGGTCCGCAATCAGTTGCCAGAGCGAGTGGTTAAGGAGCAAGAATGGAATTGGAAAGAGCGTAATGAAAGTTAGAACCGGTTGAATGCTGAGAGTTTTTATATATGAACCGAATTTTTATATATGAACATGTGGGAAGCTCCCTTTTTTTTTTTTTTTTTTGATCAATTTTTTTTAATCGATTCACTGTTTAATTCAGAGAAAAAAAAACATGGGTTCGTTTGTTAAAAAAAGCTGAATATCAGGAAATTTCGATATAAAATGGAATTGAACAATGTGGTTTTCGAACTATCCGTATGATTGTCAGGTACATGAATATTTGAAGCGAATGGCAGCGTATGATTTTAAATTCACACTAGAGTCGTTTATTTAAAAAAGAAACAAAAAGAAAGAAAGAAAAGACGACACGAATGTTAAAAATTTAGAATTTCTCCAGATACTCGAATATTTCTAAAACATATGACTTAAAATTCAAGCCAGATTGTTAATTTATTTAAAAACAAAAAAAAAAAAAAGAACGACGTGAGTATTAGAAAATTTTCGAGATAAAACAGAGTTGATTCGTGTGTTTCTAAATTGTTCACATTCGTGTAAGAGAAAAAAACTTTCAACGCAAACGGAGTTGATCGACGTGTCATATTGTATAATTAACTTGAACATCTGTGAAGATCATACGGTCTGAAATTTATATTTATAAAGATAAAGCACAAGTTTCAAAAGAGAAACTCGTGTTGAAAATATATGAGAAAAGTGAGAGAATTGTATTTCTAATGTCCAGATGACACTTACATGTACGACGAGGACGCACGTTGCGGAGGTGGATTGGGTTTGGGTCCTGGAGGTCAACACTGGTACGACGAACCACCGTATGAGTCAGATCCTGAGGACTTCCTTATGGGTGCCAGCGGTGGACCAGTGCCAACAGCGACCATTCAAAATGGAAGGTGAAGCCCGCAAACATATTTTTGATTCGTGCAGTGAGGATCGTACAACTGTATCAGTGACAGTGAAAAATTGTCGATAATAACTTCGTAAAGAGTCGAGGTCTCTACTTTGATTCTACCGTGAGTTCGTTCTTTTAGAAGATGATTTTGCACGCCGATCAGATCCACGATTGAAATTTTTCTTTTTACAACAATCTCCTCGAACTCGCTGTTCGATTTCTTCTTCATCATTTTATTAAACTCCAAACAGTAGGGTTCAAACTTCAAATGATGAAATGTTGGGATATTTGTCATTTAAATTTAATATTTAATATCCGGTATAAATTGCCGAGAAAAGAATCACATAGAAAGTTCTAACAGCTTGTTCCAATGAGAGGAAGAAAGTCCACAGTCACGGAAGAAAAATTTTTCAATGTTCGAATTTACGCGAGGAGAGTATCCTTGCTTTCCTATTCATTGCGACGATAAAAAATGATCGTTGAGAAAAACGAACTCAACGCTTTCGCAAGCAAGAGATTCTATTCTACGTTTACTCTCATTCTTATCTCTCTGCCTATAAAATAAAATCGAGTGAAAAAGAATTGTTACACGATTTCCCTCTTCTTACACGGTGTTACAATTTTTAGTTTTAATGTCTCATTGTTGCCGCGCTCTCGCATAAATGAGAGAAACTGACGAAATCTTCGAGGGATTGAGAAGTATTTTATTTCAGGGTATGTTTCACGCTAAATCTGAGGCCGGAGAACCGAGGGGAGGGGATCATTTCGCTTCGAACTGCCGGTGACATCAGCCTGCCGCGAGATCGTTCCAGGAAAGGCGCAACCTCGACAATGCGAGGTCTCATTGTGCCGCAAGGTCATAATAATCCACCAGCTATCATACCACTTACGCACTCGAGAGCCTCTCGAGAGAGCGGAGACTACGCGAGTAGCGACGTCCAGGTAAATTTGCACAAAGAAATTCCCTATTGAAAGGTAGCCGGATACAGTCTTATCGCAGCAATAAATGCGAACCGACGACGTTCAAGCACTCTATACATATATACATACATACATATGTGTGTGTGTGTATATGTAGCTGGTGATAGCACGAGTAGTCTTCTTAACCTCTTCAAGGACGAATTTTTAATTTCAGTTATAACAAAGAAATTTCATTTCATTTCATTTTATTTTTGATAAATAAAGAAAATAACAGAATTAAGTTTACATCGCGAATGAAAGTAGTAGCTTTTTTCTTTGTAGGATGTAAATTAACTATTCAACGTATGTAATGTAGACGAGAGCGTGAAGAGGTTAAGCATTCTTCCTCGCGAAGCACGAAAATTGGAATACCTGCTCGATTTCAAGTATATTTAAACAAATGATAAATTTACTTCGTCTTGGTTAAATACATTTCTATCCAGTGATGTCGTAGAGGTTCGAAAAAAAAAAAAAGCGACGAATTATTGTATTAACACGACAACTGGTCACTCGTTACGGTCCGTGAACCAGCTGCCAGCGCAACGTGTTAATGAAAGCTCGAGGAATTTAAACCGCCTCGAGAGATTCTAAATTCACCACCTGGTTTTATTCAATTAGAATTATAATAACAACATCCTCTCATCGTGCGTATGACAACTTTTTCTCACCTCACCGGTAAGAAACAATATCGGTGTCGTTTCAGATGATTCATTTCACTTCGTCTCTGGGGTACGAGTTTAAATAACTGTCGACTGTGTCGGTGGACACGAACAAATAAACCTCACATGATTCAAAATCAATACGTTTCGTTCCGATTTGAAATTCAGCGGTGCGCGGCGGGAGGAAAAAGGAAAAAGAAAAATTCGTTTCGATCCAAAGAGGTGCCCCGAGGATGATTTCAAGATTCGCCATTCTCCCAATATCGGGCCGTGATTACATTCTCCTCCACCCTCTCTTTCTCTCTCTCTCTCTCTCTCCCAACCCCCCTGCCCCCCTTCTCGTTTACTTAATGAAACTGAAGCAGAACTCTGCACGCTGCTTCCCATTTGCTTCGTATACGCAATACCATTGTCGAAACTTACGGATAGGTTTCGAGCGTCGGTTCGGTGATTTTCACGCGGCCGGTTCGCACACATCCGCGGAACAAACATCAACAGCCTTCGAGTCTCTGGAATCACGGGGATTTCTCCAGATTAGACGCATAGCTAAGCAGGCGGGTCCCTGGTATTCATGAATATGGATTTTTCCTACTGGTTAGCTAGCTGCGTCGAGGCTTTCGTCTCGCTAGTACCACCTATTAACAAATCTCTCTCTCTCTCTCTCTCTCTCTTTCTCTTTCTCTTCCTCTCTCTTTCTCTGTCTGTCTATCTGTCTATATCTATATCTCTTTGTTTCTATCTTTGTTCATCTCTGTCTCGAATTCACGTACAGATGGATAACTGTGCAAGCTAACACAGTTACGTATGTATCTATGCGAATATCAAACGATACGTCTCTTCCTCGCCTCTCGTTTAACGAACCGAGCACAACAACGGATCGCACACGGTCTGAAATTTTTCGCGAATATTTCGCCAAGTTTCCAGAGACCGATCCTTAAATTTTTCTTCCCTCTCGGTGGGAAATCTTGGTACTGTTGCACGTGGGTTCAGTTGTTTCTCTCTAGAGGTTTGTGAACTCAATATAAGGTTTGGTGAATTATTGAGATACATGTAAAATAATTTACATTACAGTATCGTTCCACCTAAATTTCGTTTTTGCAGACGTCGTAGTTTACAGATTTCGTTCGATAAAAAATGATGGTGATTCGCAACGTAAGAGAAAGCCAGATGCCTAATGTATGTACATTTAGCTTCGTAACGAAAAATTGGATGACGAGAAGAGAATTCGCGCGAGGCTAAATCTATTAATTGGACTTTATTACAGTAAGAAAATGATGGAACTTCTTTGAAAAAAAATCGTTTGGCTCGCGGGAAAATAAAATTTTCTGGAGGTATGCAAAAACCCATAGGTAAAATCAAGTAAATTATCTATTAAAAAACGTATAAAATGTCATATAATTATAAAAGTTTTTATTTTTATTACTTAAAAAATTGTAAAAACAGTTTTCTTTAACAATTTTAAAGGTGTTTTATTTTTAACAAATGTAAAGGTTCTATTTGATATATCTTGTAAAAAAATTATGTTAATTACTAGCTTGGGAACTTTTTACTGTAGTTATAAAAAGTTCGAAATATTTTAACATACAAATATATATATATCTCAATTAACGAAACAAAAGTTGCCCCATTCAACACTTGTGCCCATCCATGACACATGCTGCATTGAGTCCATTGTTCTTTGAATTTCCAATAGGTCAAAATACTGAAGAGGGTCGAAATACTCTGTAGAATATTACTTATCTGAATGTGAAAACACTAAAAAAAAAAAAAAAAGAAACAATCGCTCAAGTCGCAAAAACATCAAGAAACTCTTCAAGCCGAAATTTTTAATTGTCTGCACTCTGTCTGAACGCTACGATGTCGATTGTTTCCGAAATAATTGTTGCGAAATAAAGTCCGTGGTATTCCTCGGACAAACCTCGTTCCCTGTTAAATTTCTTTCCATACGGAATACATCGACAGGCCATGTACTTAACTGTATCATTAACCCACGTAGATATGCGTGGCCTGCAGTTGCTATCTACTTCTGTAACGTGCAATTTCTTTTTATTAGCGTACTAAATGGCCGCCACGGCTGTTTACTGCCTCAGACGATGCAGCTGTACACATGTTTCACAAGCTACTTAAGTAAATCACGCAAATTGGAGGTATCAAGTGGAAATGCAGGGGAATCGTTACGAATCATTTTCTCCTGGTTCAACCCCCTTGGGATTAAAACGATCTCTAATTACTCTAATTACACTGTGAGTTTTTTTTCTACGGCCGTCGGAGCCATTCATTTTCGTCGAATTTAATCTAACCTTCGTCCTATTTTTGGAAAGAAATTTACTCTTATTTTATTTTACCAGTGAATTCGTCGAATGAATAATCTCTAATAAAAAAAAAAGTTTGATGCATCTGAAATCCAAAAAGTCAGGTTTGTGTTTCCTTTTTTTCCAAGATATTGATCATTGTCTTTGTTATCCGTCAGAAGAATGATAATTCTGTAGAGTGTGTTTCAGTGATAGAACCGAGTGGGAGATGATTCTACGTGAAAAGATGAGTCGAAAAAGGGAAGGTAGTGAAGTTTTTTCAGTGAAGTCTTCGTTCTGAAACGCCCTGTATCATCGTGTTCACAACTAACAATTTTCTTTGCAATTGAACAAGATTTCACAATTGTAAACCATACAGATTTTGTTTCATCAACGAAACAAGCGTGTGTGTGTGTGTGTGTGTGTGTATGTGTGTTTCGACGAAGGAAAAAAAGAATTTTTTCATACGATAAGTTGACCAATCGTGTGCTTCATGAACATTCACGGTGAACGACTGAGAGTTGCAACTTTCCAGAAATTTAATTCAAAGTTTTGGAACGTCTAGCGTGCTGCTACCAGTTTCTGCTACGTACTAAGATGTCTTATATCGCAAGTTTTACGCCTCCGCGTTATTAACAATACATCTACATCTACCGGGAGTTTGTACGGTGTAGTTTCAGTTCAACAAGAGAATGCTTCACTGCAAACCTGTTCTTCAAAGCGTGTCTCGATGGAAGTCTGATGAATTTTCATTTCGTTCTCACATCGGCCGGGTTTCGTTCTTACATTGATCGGGTACTTCTTTTCATAAAAATGGGAAACTCATCTCACGAGTGACGTTGAGAAAGTAACATTTAAATGGAACAAAAGCACTTTCGTGCAATTGAAGAAGTTTTCGCGAGCGACGAAACGTCAGAATATCGAATCGATTCAAGTTTCGTTGCCTCGGGTAACATTTAGCAAAGGCGAGGTGAGGTTGAAAACGTTCGATTCAGGTCGTTTGAAAAAATTAGCTATATTTCTGATTGTCCTTCGATGCGATGTCCTTCTCTGTACCAAACACGGAGGAATCTGTGATCGTTATCAAATGATAATCAAAGATTATAAAAATATGGAGAACTGCCTCCAAATCCACTTCCGTCAGCAGACCTCGGAATGATACATCGAATGAACGAAACAAACCGACACAGACAACTTAAATGTGATCTGATTTGATCTTCTACGAAGCTCATGGCATGCAGATCTTTTCGGCTGACCCTCGTATATATGCACGTATAGCATCAACTATTGTTATTATTCTAAATCACGATACACATACTGTTTCGCTGTACTACTCTTAATCATACATTATACATGGTACCTTCTACACGTTTGATTTTTGAACTAGCATTTTCATCATTTCTTCTTTCATTTTTTCTTTCTCTCTCTCTCTCTCTCTCTCTGTTTTTTCATCCGTAACGACTTGATCTCTCTTTCTCTTTCTCTATCTCTCTCTCTCTCTATCAAGCATTTTTACGTGCTACTAGACTAAACTAGAGCCCGCTTCTCCTCTTACGTATCCATGAAATTAGAACTGTCTCTGCGAGTATCAACATTTTAGAGCCGGAGTAGCGGCGAGGAAGGACTATCGCCGAGCCAGAGCAGCGACTACGAGGATCAGGAAGAACTTGAGAATCAACACTCGGCCGCCGTACACACAGTACGTGACATAATACAAACTCCTCCATTCACAAAGTGTCTCTCCTCTTCTCTTCTCTTCTCTTCTTTTCTCTTCTCTTTCTCTCTTTCTTTCTCTCGAATTTTTCTGTCCTTTTGTCTTGTTTCGTTCTCGCATCGATGTGTGTGTGTGTAGCTGTGTGTTGTGTGTTGTGTGTGTATGTGTGTTTGCATGATTCGTAGTCGTACGTAGACGAGACGTTTCTTCCCTTAAATGTGCGCCAGATCATACTAACCTAGCGACGGTCACATCTTGGCGAACGTATGCCGCATGCAAGCGTTGGGTTCGTAGAAAAGTCACGTCGGTTTTACAATACGCGAAACGAACGTCGCTCCGTCCATTTTTCATTGATTCGAAACTAAAAAGAAAAATAATCGAAGGGATTAACTCGTAATTTTCGGAGGAATTTCATTGAGTTGTCAATGAGAAGTGTTGATCAAATGTCGCGAGGCATTTTCGCGCGTAATCAAGCAGCGTCGAAAAATTTTAGTTAAAAAAACCGTTTTTTAAAAATTAGATTGTTATTTTTAATTTTTGATATCGAAGTTATACTTTATTAATTCCTAGTTTTTATATTTAAAATACATAAATTTTTATTATATACTTATATTTAATTATATAAATATAATTTTATTATTTATATTTACAATATTATTTACATTAATTATAGAATGAACAATAGGATATTTTTACTTCAATGACAATCACAATGATTAATTTTCAAGTCGAAATTAAATGTGAAAATTATTTCATATTTTATTTTAAATTGAAGCCAAAAAGAGGCATTTATTGAATAGAATGTGGTACGAAAGAATTTTGTTGCGATCCGTTACAAGGAGGAAGAAAACCGACGTTGCCTCTCTATCAACTCAGCCCACTTAGTCGTCGTGGTTGTTGAAACATTCACATTGTATACATATAGAAATCTACTGGATGTATCCTTAATTTTTGTATCTTGTCTGTCCTGTGGGGGTAAGTAACTCGTTCGTGTCACTAACATCCATTTTCACTCATCTGGTTGGTCTTTCAGGTGTTTTTGACTTCTCCAAAAAAAACAATAAACCGCTCGAATTCTCTCTTATATAATAATTTTTCCAAACGCAAGAATTCTTCTTCCGAGAGATCACTTGCCTTAAAATTTTCAAAACCAGACCAGGTGAAGAGTCGATGCCAGTTCGAAAAGTAGGACGAATTGCATGCGATGCTTTTTCTACCCTTTTATTTTTTTTTTTTTTTCCTCCACCCACTCGTGTTCGTTGAACTGCCCGTCAGATACACGTGATTGTATACCCGATATACGCATTGTAGAGCGTTCCGTCAAAGACGTACACATACCAAAAAAACGACACAGAAGTAGACGCTTTTGTACATTATCAAGGCTATATATATATATATATATATATATATATATATATATATATATATATATATATATATACAGACACAACAAGTGCGTCTACTCCACCGACAAGTCGACAACGACGTCAGCCGAGTCCCAGAGGTTCGCCAGCCTCTGGCGAATCTTCCACGATCGTGCCTTACTGCATAATCGTTTTGCATGTTCTCGACGATCACCATGCAACAACACGAATCGTTCGAGTCACGAGAAAGTGATCCAGATATCTCTCTCTCTTTCTCTCTCTCTCTCTCTCTCTCTCTCTCTTTCTTTCTCTCGGTCTCTGTTGTAAAAAGATTTCATTGACGAGACTTTGCATCGATCGGAGGAGACTACGCGGAACGAAGTGCTCTTTCGAATTTTCACGAACTTTTGTCTCGACAAATGACGCTTAAACTTAGACAGCGTATGGAGAACCGATAAACTAACAATAAAAGATATTTTTTTCGTTTTCTTTTTTTTGTTTTTCTTTTTTCTTTCTTTTTGCTCCATTTTAGAGACACATTTGCATACGTGTGTGTACATGTACGTGTTTGATTTTCAGATGTTCTGTTTGTCAGACCGATTAGGTTTTTTGTCAACATTTTGCGCCTGGGACGACGCGCGAATAAATTTATTACTTCTCAATCATTTCTATCCATAGCGATAGTCATACCGGCGGAGTTCAGAAGGAAAGCGACGAATTATTGTATAGGGTTCGGTCACTCGTTATGGTCCGCAATCAGTTGCCAGCGCAGTGACAGCTGGTCAAAGTACAAGTAAAAATAAATTGATGAATTGATGAATTCAGTTATACGCGATTACATCTGTTCTAGATTAAAGTATAATTTTCGATTATCTCTGCTCTTTCAAAATCGATAGATAGCCAGTTTGCAATTTTTCATAAATCCGCTTAAATTTTATAAACTTCGAACGACAACGGCTGGAATTGAAGAAAAGCTGTATACTTCTTACGTTAGATTAAAGTATAATTTTGTTCTAGATTAAAGTATAATTTTCGATTATATCTGCTCTTTCAAAATCGATAGATAGCCAGTTTGCAATTTTTCATAAATTCACTTAAATTTTATAAACTTCGAACGAGAACGGTTGAAATTGAAGAAAAGCTGTATACTTCTTACGTTAGATTAAAGTATAATTTTCGATTATATCTGCTCTTTCAAAATCGATAGGTAGCCAGTTTTTCATAAATTCACTTAAATTTTATAAACTTCGAACGAGAACGGCTGAAGTTGAAGAAAAACTGTATACTTCTTACGTAGAATGATATTTCGTCTTTCAGTTACAGTTTTATTCACGTGTAAATAAACAATTTCTAAACGTGTCGTTTTAAAATACGTTTACATTTCACGAGTCCCAAGTCGGACGGCTAACAAGATTCAAATAACAAAATCGACAGTTCCGGTGAAACCGCGAGATGCATTTCAAAATTCCACGATTTTCACAAAGAAAAATGCGTAACGCCAAAGTGCACGGGATAATAGAACGAGAGAGACCCTTCGTTGCGCGTGAGATATCTTCTTCGATTCGATTCACCGTTTTTCCTCATTTTTTCTCTCTCTCTCTGTCGCATTTCCATCGGTACGAGCAAAGAGAGTCGGGCGAAAAACGGTTTTTTCTCTCGCTGTTTCGAATCGTCAACAGCGCAACATCGTTTGGTTTGAAATTTCCAGTCGGAAGCTAGCGCCCTGCTCGAAGGTGACACGAGGGCAGGGATCGCGGGACGAGCGCGAAACCTGAGGCACGACGTGCAGCGAAAGATCTCGAGGCTTCGTCAGGATCGCACGTCATCCGAGGCGTTCCCGTGCAGCGCGAGCAGCGTCGAGAGCCTGCCGAGCGGAAGTGGCTCGAGCACGCAGGCACTTGTGCGTGCAGGAAGCAATCACAGTTCGATATCCTGCGAAGACAGGGACGCTATCAGCCCGACGTCTATTGGACCTGTGCTCTGCAGAGCCCGAGCACTCGTTGATTACACGCCCAGCCCCTACGACAAGGAAGCGCTGAAGTTTAAGGTTTGTTTGCAAATTATTATTATTATTATTATTATTATTATTGTCGTCGGTGAATGTCGATCGAGAGAAGTTTTCGCTATTGGAACTTGTCGTTTCTATGATTTTTGTCACGTTACGTACGCTGGCGACATTTCAGACGTGTGACACGGTGATAGCGAAGATAATAATGATGTAATATTAAACATAACGTTGAATGTAATATTTAATACTACACACTAAAATGTAATAAATTTTTGGATATAAATATAGAATATAGTAATGGTAAAAAAAAATGAAATAAATATGACAGTAATGGTAATATAGTAATGGTAATAAAAAATGAAATAAATGTGATAGTAGGAAAACTAATTAATAACAATGTAATATTAAGTATAAGATATAATTGTAATATTGAATAACAACGTTAAATATAATAGCTTTTCAGATGTAAATATATAGTAGAATATAATAATGGTAGTAAAAATAATTAATAACAATGTAATATTAAGTATAAGATATAATTGTAATATTGAATAACAATGTTAAATTTAATAACTTTTTTAGATATAAATATATAGTAGAATAATAATGGTAATAAAAATAATTAATAATAGTTTAATGTTGAATATGATGTTAAATATAATAATTTTTTAGATAAGATATAACAGAGTGTAATAAAAATAATTAATAATAATATAATATTGAATATAATACTCAATAATAATATTTTTAGATATAAATATAATGCGATGAAAGTAATAAAAATAATTAATAATAATACAATGTCAAATATATCAAGTACAAATATAATACTGAATATAGTAATAATAGATATAACGTTGAAAGTTAAATTTTCTTAGAATACAAAGAAAAGTTGCAAAAATACATAAAAGTATGTGAAGTAAGTCACAATAACAGCTGCGTGTTGGTCAACGCCATTTTATTATTCTGAAATTTTTGTTTTTATTTTGAATCCTGCTCGTAGAAACTCGTATTACGATTTATAGTCCACGGTGTATATTTGTCCTTTTATATCCTTATATCGTAAAATCATAACGCGTAATGTTGAACGCAACTTTTTACGAAACAAAGATATTCGTGGAACTTTTACGCATACGTACTCTCGAGGAATAAGCTTCGATATAAACTTAGAGTTCTATTTGTTACGAGGAAAATCATAAATAATGGAGTTCTATATTAAATTTGTTACGAGGAAAATCATAAATAATGGAGTTCTATAATAAATTATTTATCTCTCTATAAATTTAAATAAATGAAATTTTACCGTACGTATAAAACATACTTTTATTAAATTACGACACACTGTACGACGACAAATTATAGATTTCCCATGTATCAAAACTGTCGTATACAGTACCGTCAATTATGCTAAAATGTTCCATGTGAATTTTGCATAAAATTATTCTGTTTTGTTAAAATTTTTATTTTTACTATTAAATATCAGATGTAATGACAAATTATCATCGGGAATTCTACATTACGTTTGCAACCACTAACAATTTTCCTCGCAATTGCATAAAATTCCGCAAGAAATTTCTGCTGCATAAAAGTACGCAAATTTCGTTTAATACACACATTAAATTTATCGACGAAACGTAAAAGTAAAATTTGAATGCACGTGTTTCAACGAAGGAACAAAGTTTTTTCTTTTCATACGACGACGAGTTGACCCACGCCGTGTGCTTTATGAACTTCACGGTGAATGACTGAGAATGCAATCTTCGATGTAAATAAAATTACAGTACAGTTCCATTTATTTCAAAGAAACTCTATCGATAAAAATCGTGGATATTTATTTTGTTTTGCGGTAACGTATGCATACGTGTTCTCGACGTGTAAGCTTCAATATAAATAAACTTACAGTAGACCATTTGTTGTAAAGAAAATCATAGACAATAGGGAAAATCGTTAAATTTCTATTATATAAACTATTTATCTTTGAATTATATAAATTATTTATATTATACAAACTATTTATCTAAATTTTATATAATTCATAAAAATTAAAAAATTATATAAAATTAATAAACATTTATCTATGAGAGTTCAAACAAACGAGATTCTACCGTGTGTATGAAACATATTTTTACTAAATTACCAAACAGCTTTTCAAACGCTGTATAACTTGTATATATGTTATATATAAATAAGTTGATACTGTTTCGTAACTTAGTGAAAATATGTTGCACATAAATCCCCCTACCTATAACGCATACGTTAAAAAAAGAAAAGAAGAAGAACGTCCGTATAAAACACGAGCTCAAAACCTAACGATCGATTCGTACACCAGCGCGCGATTGAAAAGGAGAGTCTGCCTGTTATAAAGTACCATTACTCCCCCCTCCAAACTCTCGACTCTCATTTCCTGCGAAACAGAATTATCTCTTCCTTTTCGTCGATGTTGCCCGTGACCCGCGCCATGACTTCGCGTATAATACCAACTAACGCGAACGAACAACAAGGAGCCGAATGTGAGTCGAATCACTGGCTCCTTCGTATCAGTAGGCGTAAGAGAGTTGTTCAGTGTTTTTCTTCTTCTTCCTCTTTTCTTTTCTTTTTTTTTTTTTTTTTTCTTTCTCCTTTTCGACGCGGAAGCAATGAACAAGTCGATGTCGCAGTCACGTTGGCTTTTGTTGCGTTTGCAGAAGGGAGACATCATCGACGTGGTACAAATGAACAAGAGCGGCCTGTGGAAGGGTGTTTTGCACAACAGGATAGGCCACTTCAAGTTCATAAACGTCGAGATACTAAACGACAGGGTCCCGAGGCGCGGCGAGCCCGAAGGCCGGGGGAAGTGGGGCCAGAGGTACAGGCAGAAGCCCGGTTCCGTTCAAGAGCTCTTGCAGAGGATGAATCTTCAGGTAGAGAGAGCAATATCTTGCCACGGCTCGAACAAACTGATTCGCATTTGCATCGCTTCGAATGCAAAGCAGGGGACCTTGCTTTTATACGTTTCTTTACACGCTGGACCTCTCTCTCTCTCTCTCTCTCTCTTTCCCTCTCTCTTTTCATCCATATCCTCTCTCCTCTTCTCTCTTTTTACCTGCATCTTTTATATCGCGCACAATACACAGCACCAGCGGAACGTCGCGTGTTCTGTTTTTTTCTCTCTCCTTTTTTCTTCGACACTTTCTGTTTTTTTTTTTTTTTTTTTTTTTTTACATCCCTCTTTTACACTCTTCGTCCTTATCCGCGTCGCATCGATTCTGTCTGTCTCTTTCTCTCTCTTTTTTATTGCTGTTTTTTTAGCGATAAACGTGTGTGGTTTGTTTTTTCTTTTCCTTTTTTTTTTCTTTTTTTTCGTAAATGGAAATTTGGCGAGTGTCGGGAGATTTGCATTGGCTGCGAGATTTAAATCCGCTGCGATTGTTCTTTTTTTTTTTTTTTTCGTTTTCTGAGACGAGGAAGCACGGTGATTGAAATACATACGTCGCCCTTCGCGGATTTCGTGTTAAATTAAATGAGATTTAAGAAAGCGTGTTGAGAAGAGAGCGCGTCGTGGCGGACGAAATAACATGGAAGTTTTGAATAAACCGCTTTTTCCAGGAACACATTCCCGTGTTTGTATTTAACGGATACGAGGATTTGGAGCTCTTCAGGGAAATTGAAGCTGCGGACCTTGATTACTTGCGCATACATCAGCCGGAACACCGCGCGAAAATACTCACAGCCGTGCAACTGTTGAATGATCTTCAATGTGAGTTCCCACTGCCCGATCATTTTCTTCTTAATACTGGAATACGTTTGTCCCTGATTTCATTTATTTATTATATCTTTCAAATCTTCTTTTACCTAACACTGGATAAAATAATATATATACGTATATTAAAAAAATCGAAAAAAGTTGATTTCTGGATGGACGAGATATACAAGTAGAAAAATTTTGTGTCTAGTCAGACGTCTCATTTCCGTGAGACTATTGTAAAGTTATACTTTGTGTCGTTTCTAACCGTAAAACAGAATGAAGCATAAACTTTCGAAATATGACGTTGAATCAAATAGACAAGTAAAGTTGACTTGATTTTTTTTTCTTGTATTAATTCAAATAGGCATGCCTGATCAAAAGGTGGTTGAACGAAAAGACTTTCAGTACTTAATAATCCAAATTATAAACTATTACATAATTATTACATAATTATTATTTAACAATCTGAAATAATTATGAACAATTGTATAATTATATATATATATATATATATATATATATAAACTATTTTTATACTTAGTATTAATGACTTGATTTTAACCAAAAAAAATTTAAACTAGACGCTCTTTTGATTTGACACGATAGTTTATAACAGGGTATTCCATTTTCATCGGTGTCCAAACGATGTCAGTAAAATAAGAGAAAAATATTAATAATTTATAATTATTAATTATACTTTATAATTATTAATATATAATTTAAAACATTAAATTACAAAATTATAAATGATAGTAAAATCATAATGTTGAATTGCATTGGAATATTAATCGAATAAATTTATAATTTTGATATTTTTGTTACAACTTTCTAGAGCATTCACCCTTTGTACACACAACATCATTCTCTTGTTTATAAAACACACCGTTTGGCTGTGATAAAGATGAAACGCCCTGTTATATTGCCGCGTCTCTCAGCAAATAATAATTCACTTCAGCCGGATTTTACGAAATTACACATTTCCCCTTGTTAATCCCGCTCGATTCAAAATTCGAGGCGAAGTGTCCGGATCGCAAGAACGATCATTTTGTGGAAAATGCGGAAACTACAGGTCGGTTGGTTTTTCTGTTCTGTTTCTAACAGCCGGAAGCGAGGGCGATTTAGCCTCGAGCTCGGAGGGCGACGAGGTGAGTCGGCTGGTCTTAACCTCTGGCCAGACATCCGGCCATTGTTCACCGTTTAATCGTCGCCAGTTCCCGCGGGACTCCGGCTGTTACGACGCTCACAAGAATTCCACCGGCCGGCGAACCGTGAGCCCGGAATCGACCGCGACAGCCAAGCTGCCCAGGGAGAACAATCTCGACGCCACAACAGCCTCCGCGAAGAACGTCGTCAGCGGTGGCGGCGGCGGCGGCGGCGGCGGCGGCGGCGGCGCCAGCACCGAAGGTGGCTCTGCCACCGACAGCAAGGACGACTTTCATCCGAACATACCGATCACCGGCGCCGCGACTGGCCAGAAGGAGGGCCAGTTCGACAAGTCGCCGTTGCTTCGCAGCAGCGGGAACGTTCGTTTCATCGCGAAACGGGGGAACTTCGGTGAGACGGTGGTGATCGAGGACGCGTGCGAGAGCGGTCAGAAGCTCGGCGGCATGGTGAAGTACGTGGTCGGTAGCGGTGACCTTGGCCTCGAGGCCACCGGCAATATCACCGGCCTCGGCCAGCGTGGTTGCCTCAGCGAGAAATCCAGCGACTCCGGTGTCAGCTCGTCGAGCATCAGCTCGGCACCGCCGCCGAGGGACAAGGTGCTCGCGAACGTCGCGTCCGACTCGCCCACCAAGAACTTCGGCAACTTCACCAGGGCGTCGCCGACCTCCCAGCCGGCCAACGCCAAGACCAGTCAGAGCGGTGAGGCTAGCTACCAGTAGAGAGACAGAGAGAGCGCACAGTAGAAAACAGGAATACTCTCCTTTTATTTTCCAAGTTCTCTTCGTTGCGTGTAAGATTTTTATTCGAAGGCACTACATCGTCGACGCGATACATCGTTTTGATACGAGGACTTTTGATCGGGAGAAAAGACTCGTCGGATGTTGTGGAAAGTTGTCGGTACCAACGGTGCCTCGCGTTTCAACTCGTTTAACAAGTTGCAGCTACCTAAATCCCTCCCTCCTCCTCTTCCTCCTCCTCCTCCTGTTCCGATTAACCGAATTACTCGAAGTGGTTCGACACTAATAAGAACAAGAGTGGATACTCGAAAGGCTCGATGTTCAAGCAAATAACAGGTTCACGCCAGGTTAAGGTGTTGCGAGTTGCTCGAGATAATTTGACATGGCTGCAGCCCGAATTCAAGCTGCAATCTGACGCAGATGGCAGACAAACGAGTTTGAACCCGAAGTATCATCCGTATCGAACCTTTCTATCGCCTTTGCATCGCGAAATCACACGCCACGGAGGTTTCTTTCGCTTTCGGTTTCAGCTTCGAACCGATCGAGGCAACGCGGTGCTTCGCAAAAACTCTTCACTGCCTTACCTCTACTCTCTATCCTATCGTTGCTTTGTTCATCGAAACGTCCAACGCTGCTCGCCCTCGTCGAGAAGAACGAGAGTTCTCCAGCTTTGTTTCCGATAGGTTAGATTAGAGTTTCGCGCGAGATTCTATCCTCGGCCTGAATTCTCGCGACTCTCGCGCACGACGAACGAAAGAACGAGACGAGGGGATGATGTTCTCCCGGATTTTAAAGCGTGTTCTCGGCTTGTTTGTATTTGTATTGACGAACGTGAATGGAATATGACAGTGCTGTTGAATGAGAAGATCGATGAAACGTCTTGCCACGTCACTGCCAGTCATTTCGTGATCTCGTCTATCGTTTTTCGACGCTCGTGTTACATGCTAATTAACTGATAATATTGTGATAAGAGATTGCATTTACGTCTGAAGCATTTGTAAATAGATAGAAGGATAACGCGATAGAGAAAGAGAGAGAGAGAGAGAGAGAGAGAGAGAGTTCACGATTTGCAATTTGTATACTAAGCTAACGAGAACAGAGACTAAAAGAGGCGACGAGTTTAAAACGAATGAAACGGTGCAGAGTTGAGCTCGTAATCGTCGAAATCGTCGATTCGACTCGAGCTGTTCAGTCCGTTTCTATTTGAGAAGTGGCTGATTATCAGTCGGGAGCTTCTGGATCAAAGACTGCCACAAGACGCGATATTAAAATCTTTCCACCGAGAGTATGATGTTCATTTGTTCTTCTTTTTTTTTTTCTTTTATTGATTCTGATTTACCTTAACATCGTGAGAGATATTATCGTACCGAAATTGAACATCGAATACGAATGCGAGAGCTACGAGTGATGACGATCTGACGTTGAATTTTGTAATTTAGAAATCTTCTTTATACTACCGTTAGTTACGGATATAAATATATATACATAGTCTAGCTTCTCGTTTAAAGAACGCTCGGAAATTTCATCGAGAGCGAAAATCAAGTTGGATAAAATAGCGAAGCAAATAGGTACGTATGTACAAATACTCCCTTTCCTTTCTCAACGTAGAGATCCCTTCGAACTCCTGTATAGCGATCGTTTTGTATTAAACTGTATAGTTTCTTATTATTGTCGACGATAGTGAATTCGTAGTGAGGGAAAGTAACGAGTGATCAGTTCCTCGGAGAGACGTTGTTAAATGAAATTGCCGCTGTTACAAATACCTTTTGCAGGATTATTTTATCCAATCTTTGGCCGCTCATTCGATATCGATATTCGTTTTCAGTTTCGAAAGATTGAAACATTAACTAGTTACATGGTCGACAATCCCCCATCATCGATGCAACATAGTTCTTCGACAAGATGGTAAATCTGTACATGTGTATATTGACTGCGCCGCAGAAAGAAGAAAGAAATAAGAAAAAAAAAGAGAAAAAGAAAAAATAGCGGAAGAGAGAGCGAGAGAGAGAGAGAGAGAGAGAGAGAGAGAGAGAGAGACGACGTTCAAAGTTATAGAGTTTTTTGTATGTACATATACAGCACAGCATAGGAACCTAACGATGTTTTATATTGATCCAACAACATTGCCAAAACTTTAGACTATACAAATCTCTATACATAAATATATATACATATGTTACATATATCGTACCGTTGGCTCTTATGTATATCTTTTGTATAGTGTAAAATGGTAGACGAATTTAAAAAAAACGAGGCGCGAATGGTAAGAGGCGAATCGAAGAACTTGAGCGAATTAAAAAAAAAAAGAGAGAGAGAGAGAGAGAAAATAAAACGAGAAGGAAGAGAAAAAAAGAGAAAGCTATCGAAACGACACGATTATCAAAATATACGGTCTAAGAACTCTATCATACTGTACATAGATATACACATCAAAATGTAGCATATTCGTTTCGACGGAGAGAAGGGGAGAGGAACAATCGAAAGACAAGAAAAAAAAAAAGAGCGATTCGATGACTATCCAAAAGTCGGCGGAGACTGATGTGAGGAAATGTTAGAGAAATCTTATAGGCTTTAAGATGCATGTTTACCTTTTTCATTATTATCGATTTACACTGTAGTTGTTAGGAGGTTGTTCATTCCCATTTTTTTTTTTTTTTTTTTTTTCTTGTAAACAAGTCTCTTATGCTTTCTTTCGTACGACCATTGAGCGAGATTTCCACGTAGGAAACGAGGGTGAAACTCTGAATGATCATCCCCCCTAAACGTCTAACTGTATAAGTTGACACACACGCTGCTTCCACGATAATAGCGATTGTTTTAATACGTACTTTATCGATATACCGCATTAAGTGATTTATTTTTTTTTTTATTTTTTTTTTGTATTGCAAGGTTCGATCGTGACCGAATTTATTTGCGTTAACAATGAACATGACATCGAGTAAGGTTGATATTTCCAACGGAGACGCTACTCAGAGAGAAAGAGAGTGAAAGAGAGAGAGAGAGAGAATTTTACGAATTTTTCGCAGAAAAACGAATTATTATGAAGCCAAAATCTTCGTTACTTCTTGTACGCAAATTACACGGTAACGCTCTATAGTTTTGTCCGTTCCATCGAGAACAATATTACGCGTAGAGGACGAATCAAAAAAGAAAAAGTATAAAAAAAGTATGAGAACGAAACAATAAAACAGAGTGAGTGAAAGAGAGAGAGAGAGAGAGAGAGAGAGAGCAAAAGCGAGTGAGAAAGGGTGAGAGTGTTAAAATTAGTAACGTTCTGAGAGTATGATTAGATGCAATAACAGATAATTTTATTAGTTCGGAAAGAAGTTGCGCGACGTTTGATGTAAAGAGGAAGAAAAGGAAAAAAAAGCAGTCAGATTCGTTATAAAAAAAAAAAATAGATGCAGTGAATTAATAATCGAGATAAGTAATTTGAAGAAAAAAAAAAAAAATAGTGTGAAAAATACGTGGAGGTAAAGGTGTCTTAGTAAAAAAAAAAAAGAAAAAAAAAAGCGTGTTGAGTGTGTTTGCGATTCGGATTTCGTACGAGAGTGAGATGAAAGGAACGAAAAAAAAAAAAAAAAAAGAAAAAAAAGAGAACGGCCATCTTGGTCCGAACGATCGATCGATCGCGAAGAAGAAAGTGAAGGGTGGTCACCGTGAGGAAAGTCGACGACGCGGTCACGGTGTCTAAGGATGAGTCGCGCTAAATCGCTAGTGAAAATCGAGGAGGAAAAGAAAAAAAAAAAAAATTATTAAGCATCTACTTAGCGGTCTAGTCCATTTTTTCTTGCAAAGTTTAGAATTTGATGCGATATATGTATAATGTACATAAAGTAAGGAAATAAATGAAGAAGAGGAGGAAGAAGAAGAAGAAAAAAAGAAAGAAAGAGAAACAAGATTAGCAAATGGCAATCGCGTCAGCGTGAGTTGCTGAAAAAAAAAACTTTTTTACAAGCTGATTTTGTATTTATTGATTAATTGCGGGTTTTATAGAGGTAACGAGTTCGTAATTCTTATCGTCTCTCAGTTCTTGTATGGTTTCCAACAAGTGTTAATTTATTATTGACTGTGAATAGAAATAAAATGACGGAAGATTCAAACGATGACGGATTATGTTGCTCCTCTTCCCCGGTTTCCTATAAATTCTCGCAATTTACATTACAGGCTGGACAAGTGAAAAAAAAAAAGGGGAAACAAAATGAAAACAAAGTATCTAAACTTATAGTTTATATCCACCAAGGCTAACCAACAGGCTCTAATAGTACTTACTGTTAGAATTGAAATTTTCATTTAAATGAAAGTATTTGAAAAATTACAGGTCAAGATCAAATTCAGGTAAGTGTATCGTTGATTTTTAACTTCGTCGTTGATTAATAAACGACAATGAGTGTAAAAATTGTACGATAACTCGAGGAATATTTTTTTTTTCATATTGAATGTTGTTGTTGAAAATTAACAACGATAACGGAAGAAGAAGCTTCGAGCAACGAATGATTCATCCTTCACTGGCAACTCTACAAACTTTATACATCGGTTGTGTTTGCCTCGATCCGCACAAAGTGGAAACTCTTGAAAATGAACTTGTTTCTTGCATTACACTCGACACTGGCAATTCGATTATCGCGCGATCCATTGTCTTATAATTAGGACTTGGTATACTTACTCCTGCTGGAAGTTGATCATGCGCTCCCCCTCTTTTCAGCGTGAAACCACTCAGAATCTCACCACTTCACCTCACCTTAGCCTTATATATTTCTATTATACTACTGAAGTTGTACCTAAAAGTAAATGTACAAGTTCAGTAACATGGTAATTTTAAACTCAACTAGACTCTGATTGGCTTGCGTGATTCTGGTTTTTGAAATGTCAACTTTTTGAGAAAATGTTGAGCCATATGTAAGTTAAACAATTTTCGAAACGAAATTAATGGTAATAAACTTGAAATTAAAGTTAGAACGGATCTCTTGTATTTTATTACAGAAAATAAGGGAAAGTGCTTAGTTTCGACAGAAGGTTTTAAAGTAAATGAAAATAAAATGATCAGAGCTGGTCACAGTTTTCTTTTTTTTTTTCTTTTTTTTTCAATCAGAAATATCATTAAACGCAATAAACAGAGCGTCACTGCGCAAAGTGGAAGAGATCTACTTTTAAAATTTATTGAATTCACGTAACAATTACGAGTTTATTTATTCAGAAACTAAGATAAGCCGTTATTATTTTAGACGAAACGAAGTTTCAAAATTCGCGGGACACCCAGGCGCGAGAAACCGCGGAGGTATATATATATATGGGACGTGAAAATTCTGGAAACTCGGATATGGGAAACAAGGGGACAAGAGCGTCGTAAATAGGGACGGACGATGTCAAAGTTAATCAGAAGAATTTAGCCGCGGTGTTCCCATTCGTTATTCACTCGGTTGTGAAAAAACATTTCTCAGATTATACGCGCGAGCTTTTAGAGATGAAAAATGCAGGAAATACGCTGTCAGAGTGCGCAGCTGGTCTTTTGAATGGGGGCTCGTTCACCGAAAAGTGTGTCATAAAAGGGATGCTCGTCAGTCGAATGAACTTTCAAAGAAAGTGCGATAAAAAGCGTTTACTAATGTATGTAAATGCACCCTCCGAGAATCATTTCGAACGTTACGGCGTGTACGTGTCTATTCGTAACCTTTATTTGAGGCCTAGGTAAGAGAGAGAGAGAGAGAGAGAGAGAGAGAGCTCGAGTTACTTTTAGCACAGTAGATTATGGCGGTAATAACTCGGCGAGTTTCTTTTCCTCGGCTAACGGCGGCCACCACCGGTAAGTAAATTCGTTGCCCGTTGGGGTTGAAATCTAATTTAACTTTTAAAAGTCACCCCGGCGAAATTACAATGATTTCCAACGATACGCCATCGGCACGTATGTGTATGTGCACGCGGAAGTTTCCTAACTTCCCTTCTATTCGCCAATCTCCTTCGAGTAATGGAACGAACGCTCGGGATATATATAATCCCAGATTTTCTTTTTTTCTTCTTTTTTTTTCCCCCGAAATAAAAGAAAGAACGAAATTTTATATTTTCGTCGATTCGTTTCCTCGAATGTAGAAAAATGTGGAAAAATTGTCGACGTTTCTTCCGTAAAAAGGGCAAACTTTGGTCTCCTTTCCACCTTGAAAACGACAAGCATTGCTCTCTTCCAAGGATATGCTTGCATCACGCAGTAGGTGAGAAACTATGGAAGAAATACAAACGTCTTTTTAAAAAAAAAAAACTTTTCGTTTCGTAACTAAATCCACCCAGTGATCTCGTAGAGTGAAATCTCTCCTCTTTGCAACAGACCCTTAAAACTTGCTGTGCGATTTCTTTCCCCCTTTTTTTTTTTTTTCTTTTTTTTCGTAAAGTTATAACAGTTCAAAATTTTTCAGCGATCCGTGCGAGAACTTCTTCTTTCCCATCTCTACGGTCGATGGTATATAATATTTCCAAGAAAAGTCAGAAGTCAATTCAGACGTGGCACTTGGCGTCAAATCAGAACTTGTTTGGCAGAAAAGAGAAAAAATTACTCGACGCTCGTTTTGTAAATTTTGTGAAACGTAGCTTATCTTGACAAACGATAGAACGTAAATTTTATGGAACAGTGGCTTTTGCTAAAAATTTATCTGACTGAACGATGAAGCGTGAATGCACGCACGCTTGTGTCTCGACGTTCGATCAAAAAGGGAGGGGACCGGGAAAAAATCGTTGCTGCCTCGAACTTCGGAAGCGAAACACTTCGTCTGACTATTTCTGGAATGTAATTATTGAATTTCACGTATTCACGGTTTATTTTCGGTACCCTTCGCGGAATCCTCAGTTCAGAATTGCATTCTTCCGGAACGAGAGTTTATAGGCCGCATCGTTTCGATCAGGTATTACGGCGAACATTGTAAAATATAATATTTTCATGCCATGCGTCAGCAATTCGCGCGATGCAAACAGCAAACCCTATGCCAAGTATGCGCCGTAGAAATAAGTAAAAGTGAATTGTATCGGCAGTGATATTTTGTAACTTTCAATTTCTTTATGTGTATATGATGGTACATGAAAATAAGTTATAGGATGTCTCAGGACGAGGGAAAGAAAAAATTAAATTTTTCTTTCAGTGAAGCTTCCGTTTCCAGAATAATTCCAGGCTGATTCCAGAAACGAGTGGAAAATGTAGAATAAAATTTTGTTCGTTTAGGGCGTCACTTTCAAAAAAAAGTAGACTCTGAAAATTGCACGCACGTGCAATTCGATGAATTTTCTCGAACACGAGGCATTCTAGAAAAAAAACTTTATCCCATTTATTCTGTATTTATTCCCACGCGTAGAATAATCTCTCGTTAATTATTTTCTTCTACAGTCAACGAAATTCATGCAGTTGATAAATCTTTAAACTTGAGTTTCTGAGAAACGAAGAGTGCCTTTGCCATTTCGACTGATTTTTTAACGTGGAATCACGCAACCTCGTTTATGCTCGCGTTATTGGTAAGAACATCAAACGTCAAATGTAAACGTTGCTTTTCTTTCTTCGAGATGATTTATAGAAGAAACTGCTTGTAACGGACGTTACTTCAAGACGAACTCCCGAGTGTCTCGCACGATTCTACGAAAACAGAATTTCACCATGTTGTCATCCGTTCTCTGTTGTAAGAGAGGAAAGTCCAAACAAATTGAAATAGTAAATTTCAGAGGCAAATTGGGAACTTTGAAAGCCCGCGGAGAAAAGCTGGAAGAAAATTTGAAGAAATTATGCCAAGGAAAGCTGAGCCACGAGAAATATTGAAATATTGCTGTACACAAACATCCATCTCTTGAAATTGTAATAATTTACATAATACGTATATGAATAATATGTAATAATATTATTATAATCTTAAAATTATAATAATAAATAATATTATTATAATCTTGAAATTATAATAATTTATATAATACATATATAAATAATATGTAATAATATTATTAAAATCTCGAAATTATAATAATTTATATAATATATATATATATATGGAATAATATTATTATAATCTCGAAATTATAATAATTTATATATATTTATATAATTTAAATATATATATTATATTTAAATATATATTATACAATTTATGTAATTTAAATATATATTATATTTATATATAATTTATATAATAAAATTATTAAAAATTGAATTATAATAAATAAAATATGTAATAAAATTATTAAAAATTAAATTATAATAAAATTATTAAAAATTTATATTGCACAGGTTATAGAGGGTAATAGAATTTTCACATTCGCGTGCTATTAAATTCGAAAATTCGAAAGATTCTCGCGCGTAATTTAAAATTCACGAGCATTTGAAGGATAGTGTTACGTTTTCAATGATAAATTTCAATCGTACACTGTACATCGTACGTTGAAAATTTTTAGAGTATAATTAATCATACCTACAATGGAAAACAAAAGTTTTATTGCACGTACAGACTTTCTCTGTAACGATGTAGAATCGGCAGTTTGCAAAATTAATGAAATTATGTGTCTGCAGCGTAACTTTCGATGTAAGAGAGGAAACAACGTTAATGTATAAACGTAATTCCTTCGACCCTTCGTATTACATTTATTAATGTAACAATATTGGTAAAGATTTATGGTGAAAATTAATGAATTTCGCGTACAGAAGATGCATTAATTTGATAAAAATTAATGGACATTTCGTGTCGCAGGCCAGTTAAGCAAATTGAATTTAATATACGTGCATTTAATATAAAACTTGTTTATTAATCACTGTACGATGTTTATCGCTAATAAATTAGTATCTCATTCATTGCATTGTTTAAGACTTTTATGGCGCGATACTCAATTTATTATTATCGATGCATAATTTATAGTACAGAAAATATTACACGATTAGATCCTCTAATTTCTGTATAACGAATAAAGGATGTAACACTGAACATAATTATCTTCCATTGTTTTATACAACTTCGAGAATTACCAGTCTCAATGTTCGTTTAATAAATCGAACATCCTTCGATATTATATAAATAAACACTGCCCTGTAGAATGGTTGAACTCGGCTCGGTTATCGGTCAAATTACATCCTAACTCAAAGGGATGTAAA